GTATAATGGCAGGCTTAGCGCGTCGGGAGAGGGCAATAAGTTTAGCGGTGGATGGGTGGGGAAATCGACCCTTCTTGTACGATGTAGGGCGTTGTACTGAATCAAAGTCGTCGATTTCATCTAAAACTAACTGTCTGGCATCCATCCCGTTTACAAATGTTTCACTTCTTTCAAATTCCTGTGACGTCTGTATGTTGGGGAATCTAAGAGACTGCGCGGACCAGGGCAACTGATCGTTGTGTTTTCTGCCATGGTTACATGGCTGGGTGGTTGGTGGTTGGTACATGGTTGACTCCCGGGAAAATGAAAGTGTGGTGGCGCTGGCCGGGAGGGAAGGGAGAGTCCGGCGGGGAGTATACTTCGAGGACGACTCACTTCCTCCCCGCTGAGCCCATTCACTAGCATTAAGGAATATTTCATTGTCACGTAAGGTCGGTGAGGCGTTTCCTTTCTTCAGAAGTATATGAGCAGACACAAAATGCCCTTTCTTTAGCGCCAGAAGAAGGGCAGTGTATCCAAGACTATTTCTTGTATCTACGTCGAGTCCGAACTTCACAAAGCAGTCGACAAGCATTTCCACTATAGATGGATTTCCGCTGCAGGCAGCATGATGAAGCGGTGTGTTACCATCATTATCGGCTTCATTGATGTCTAGTACGTCTTCTTTCAGTATCAGTCCAACTATAGATGCACGTCCATTCATACAAGCATAACTTAAGGCGGTTCTCCCCAGAGCGTCTCTCAAATTTAGAAAAGCTCCAGCATTCAGAAATATCTTTGCCATTTTGTATCCGAATTCTTCCTCTTCGATCATACAGGCCAGCATCATGGGCGTCCGCCCGTGTAAGTCTTTACAGTCCACATTGACGTTGTGTTTCGCTACCAGTAGCCGGACCTGATGCAGACGACAGTCGAGGACCGCCTGATGCAGCGCTGTTTTGATTGGTCGCTTAAAGAGTCCGGAGCTTACCGAAGCTACTGTCGGCTGCTGGGACGTTGACATGCTGTCTCGTGCGCCTGTAAAGACAGAGTGAAGAAATTTTAAGTGGCCAACAATTACAAGTTCATTGGTATTTGGCAATGTAACTGTTGTTCAAAGAGAAATTGTTTTCCTAATATCAACCTCGGTGGTTGGCTGCTCAGTTTGGAGTGCTTTTGGATTACGGTGCGGTGAGGAATAATCCTGGTTGAATAATATTTGTGTTCGGGGCTGAAGGATTACGACGTATTTATAGGACTCTTTGTTTGCTCGGAATCAGATAGATTTAATATGACTTAGGTTTGAGATATTTAAACAGTTTGTTCACTTGTGTATCATAAATCAAAACCAAAGTTATTTTGCCTGATTTAGGGAACATGTCCTTCTCTTCACCGTTTGCAAGCTTTATGTTCATGGCAGTTCAAGAATTCAAAACAAAATATTAGAAATATGCATATCTTTGATTAAAAGGTTTTTTGAAAGTTCAAAACTTACTTCGTCGTGAAAGTATATTTAGATCTTCATATGAGGTGAAAAGGTGACTTAAAAAAAAAAATGCAAAATCATGAACGGAATTTTGTATAATTTTGGAAAACCATAAAGCATAATAAAAGTTTAAATAACTATAGAAAAACGTTTTCAGAGCAAATGAATATTCATATGAATTCTAACCCTTGAGTTATTTATTAATTCAACAGTAAATGCATTGTTTTGTTAATGTTTTAGGGTTAATTTCACTATAATGTACAGACTGTTTTTGTCGTGTTTTTAAAATCGCATTGGAGCCAGACAAGAGGGTTTCGGAACGTTTGAAAAGGTAAAACTTCAAATGAATGTCTTGATGACATAAGGAGGCAAATAAAATCGCCATTGATGTAAGGAAGTGACTAGCGACATTCCTGATTATATATAACCACTTCTGTACGGAGAGTCAAGGGTTGTTGTAGAGAGATTATCTTAATTTATCATTAATATTTCCAGATCTTGAAACTAAACTAAAAATAAATTCAATAAGCCTTTTTTGATCTATTCATTTATAACATTTTCAAATTTTAAGTTGATGCATTTTTTTATTGACATGGTTATTTCAGTGCTTTAAATTTTGATTAAAGGTTTGATTATTGATCATTGTACTTCGAAACTTTATTTGAGTTCTTTGAAACCTAATTTGAACACTTTGAAATCTGATTTGAGCACTTTGAAAATAATTTGAAATATTTATTTCTTTTATCAGAAATTTGAAGTATATCAATTACTTGGCCTTATTAATGCTTTAGAGCTGGAAATTATATTTCCCTCCAGGATTGAGTCTTGTATACTGACAATATTCTACTTTATAAAGTTTTATAGCTTACGGTTAGTTCTGATTTGGAATTAATATTTAGTTTCTATACACCTTTGTTTTACTTAATACGGTTATTTTTAGTAACTTAAGAAGTACTTTGAACAACTATAGATGTTGTGGAATTACGTTAGGTTATTCTTAAGTCTAATAACTAAGGATTGTACTTTGAATTTGGTTTATTAAGATATGGTATTTTCAAAATCTGAAAAGTTAGTATTATATTTTGAACCACTTTAACGTATGATTTATTTATAATATTTCACTCTTGATATTCTATTCAGAGTTTGTTTTTGCTAATTTGTTATTTGCGGTTTAAATTCTTATTGATTTCTTATTTATAGAACTTTGTCAAATCAAAATTGTCTATGCCAAAAAAAAAAAAAAAGCATTGAAATTTACAATTTAAAAGCCATCTACAAATCTTTTGGAGTATGTGCATTATTTAGATATGTAGCCTTCAAACACCTTAATAAATTATTATAAAGACGATGTTGTATACATACAGTCGATCTCAATGCTCATTAAACACCTTACGGTCTGAGACACAGTTGGAATCTATTAAACATTTAACGCCAAATGCCACTGACAACACATTTATAGGAGTTAAATTCCGCACATTTAAAGTGCTGAGAATTTTTTTTAACTGTCTGTAAACATTTGATTATGTTAATCATTTTTAATTAATCAAATTCAATAATTCCCAAAACATCATTGGTCCTGTCTGAAATATTCTTGTTAGACAAAAATTAAATTAGAATTCTTTGATTGAATGGTTTCAATTAAATATATAAAAGCCTGAAGTTCATGAAAAGTGATAGGATTCATGGTATATAGTAAGGTATATATCTAAATTTGGTGCTGCTAGGACCTATAGATCTAGTTTCATGTTAATTAACATTGAAATTCACAATTCTCGATATGTTCTCAATGCACATAACTCAATTTTCATACCCAAGTAAGATAAATAACGGAGGATAGATAGCGACACAGGTGATATCGACAGGTGAGAGATGATCTAGACAAGTGCGTGACGTGATGTAGATATATACTTACTTCTGTGCCCCGTCGTTTCTGTGCCTCTACTGGATAATCCCGATCTATCCATGGTCTCCACGGCCCCCGTTAATCCGATAATCCACTCTCTCCCCGCTAACTACTTATACATTGTTCGGGAGATTTAATCGATTATAAACCAACCTTTGTTCATTTAAAATGACGGTGTAAACTGTTCAGCTTACATCTCTCTCATGTCCGCTACAGAGAACTCAACACGGGGAAAGGCGAGCCTGGTTGCTAGGTCTTGCTCAGTTCTTCACACGACGGTACAAAGTCGTGTTGGGTAATTGACACATATTAAGTGTAGACTCAGTCAGCTGATAAACCTATCTATACACTTAAAACAATAGCAGGTACCCCGTAATGAATAGCGAGCGTGTTGGGTCTTTGTCATGAAGCGTCACCTGTAAGGCAGCGCACCAAGGCGTGTATTGTAGATACACTGAGATTGTATAGTATCACAAAAATGCCATCTGCAGTACCAGCATTAAAATGCAGTCCTTTATCTTTTTTAAGAAGAATTCTATGGCAATATTTCATAATTTGATAATGCAAGATATATGAGCAGTGTATACAAATAATTCGAATTTCAGTATATACTCAATATTTTTTATAACATTTAATATTGCGTGTAACTACAATTCAAGGGCATATCAGGTAAAAGGTCAAGTTGAGGCTGCTTAGTTGAGTATGGGCTAAATCAATTAACCACCACGGCATGTAAAAAAATTAATAATGTATAGACAAATGTCTTCAAGAAACGTACAAACTTGTGTAGATCCATCTGGAGAATTATAGTCTGGAGAAAATAAATTTGGAGATATTAAAATATCCAGGTCTTTAGCTCAAGTGATCGTAATGAGGTTCGATCAGTTTACACGAACCAATACTAAACTGCACTTCATATTGATGGACAAAACTATACGTACCTGTAAAAAGCTATTTAAATATTTTATAAAAGACCAACGCAAAGCCATTACTTGTTAAAATCAATTTTTACTCATTATACTAGATTACAAAATGCATATTAAATGGCATGTTGTTTTAAAAATGTGTTTATCTGATACTTTGATAAAGAGCAGCCATTATACGTTAATGTATCTGACAGACAAACCTTTGTCTAAAAAAGAACAAGGACCATTTCAAACGGAACTAAAATATTTGAACAGTTCCGCGCTCTCTCTGCCTATCTCTCTCTCTCTCTCTCTCTGCCTATCTCTCCCTCCCTCTCTCGTCAGCTGACAATTTATGTAGCCCTAGGTGAGAAGTTACACTCACCCATCAATCATCTGACAGTGTATGATATCGTCTTTAACCAATACACATGGTTTGTTTCCAGACACGAAAAATATACCGGTTATGTTTTTACATGTAAATATAGACAACCTTCTATCTACATGTATATAAATTTTCCGACTTTAGGGATAAGTAGCTATAAATCCGAACTCCATGATAGGCAGTGAAAATAAAAAAAAAATGCAAGAAAAGAAATTTATATTACATACACAGAGACATAAAGTTTAAAAACCCGAGGTTAAATTACATTCTTTTTACGGGGCCCTCGACAGTAACAATGTTATCAGGGTATCAAATATCTATCATCTTGAGAAATTCCCATGCTTTATTAAATTTGGTCTATCCTCTAATGAACTAAGGTCGGTATACCTATAAGACACCCAGTGTAAGCCCTGAGTCGCTGTCGAATCGTGTAGGACCGTCATCAGGGATGGGAACCACAGTTACCCAATGTTAGTTGTGTATTGCGTGACCAGACTTGGAGGCTGTTACCCGGGGATTGACTCTCGGTTACACGGGACCGTGTCGCGGAACTCCCAGCCATGATTCCGTGTTACGTGACTTCCTCAGAACAGAGCTAGACTGTTCATTGATAAATCTGCAGATGTCGAAATTTTTTTTATCGCGGTCTATCTCTATAAGTAGGTCCCATTGCGTGACTTTATTGCGGTTCTTAAAGAAAAAGAATATTGATTAGAAACAAATCGCAAGTTGAAGACAGCAGGATTTTCTGTTCATTTAAGTGATCACCTCTGTTAATGTAGATATTTCAGAGGTTACTTTGGATTTTTCCAGTTCTGATGATGTCAAACTCGTGGCCTGATCTGCTGTACAGACTCACAAGAAACGGGAAAGTAGAAAAAGCGGCGATAGTGGACCAGCATGGTCACGTGATCGTCTCCAGTCGCGGGTTTAATGTGACCAAAGAGGACCTTAACAGCGTCCGGAGTACCTTCTACGGTCGCCATAATTCCCTAATGAAGGTTAAAGTTCACGGACAGGTATACACGTGCTTCCGACACAGTACCCTGACTGACATTGTGTTAGGAATGGCTGGGGAGGATATATTGGTCACTCACAGGGTGGCGGGGTTGACCATTGTGGGACTGGGTCACGCAGCCACCCCCGGCTCCTGTTTATTTGAAATCACTAAATTTGCTGGAGAAATTCAGGAAAAGAAGAAAACCCCGCGGTTAAAGTGACATTTTGTACAGTCTTCTGCTTAATTAACTGTGTTTATTTAATCATGTTTTAGCAATATTTATATTAGCCGCCAAGAAAACAGTTAAGATTTCAGTATCCTTAGGAATTTAATTAATGGAATGTCTCTCAATTATTTTTGTCCATTGCTTTAATTTAAAATGACTAGATTTAAAGCAAAATCATTTATTTTGAAGATAAATTCTAGAGTGCAAAGTCTGGTATTTTTAAAGAGCAATTCCGCGATCGTCAGGTAATAGTACATTTTCTATATAAACACGACCGCGTCATTAAAGTCACGGGTCACACGGAATGTAAACATAAAGTTTATCCTGTTCAGTTGTCGTCTGTTACGTTCATTGACATGGTCATATACATACATGACGATCAGATATGAAGATCGACTGTAGAAAGAAAACGAGTACTGATGATTATCAAATTTTTGAGGATATTTCTTACGAGACATCGGATAAAACGTCTCACAAGTCGCTCTTTGACCTCTACCTGCCGAAGTGTGGCGCGGATCTAGGGAATGTTCCTCCGATGGTGGTGTTTGTTCACGGTGGAGGGTGGCGCCGTGGCGACAAGGACACGTGGAAACATTTTGTGTTTCTGGACATTAATCTGTTGGCTGCTTTCATTTACTGGTGCTATGGTTTGTACGGGAATGTAGGTAGAGAGTTCGCGAGGAGGGGGGTTCCATGTGCGGTGATTTCTTACCCCCTCACTAAACTGAAAACTCTGTGGCTGCTCCTAGAGCTAGCGACTTCCTACCTAGGAACTGTGATATTTCTAGGAGTATTATTTTCTGTGTTGTTTTTATCGGTGCTTGTGATAGATTTTTTGACCCCTCTAGGCATTGTGAACTTTGTGATGTACAGACATCACGACTTAACTGTGTCAGATATATTTCTGGGTCATCTTGTCTTAGTTAACCTTGTCACTCTTGTTGTGATAACAGTACAGCGATCTAAACACGATCTAAAATCCCACCGTCTTACAGCACTCTGGGCGACATTTCTCAGTCTTCTGTACGCAGCATTGCTAACCGAACACCGCCTTGTGACTCTGTGGGTGACTAGCATTATATTAGTTCAAGGATCGTTGCTATATATGAACTTAAAAGCGAAAGATTACACACATGAGGACCAAGTTGTTGCTTTATCAAAGTGTCTTAAGAAAGTTTATGAAATAGGGAGATCCGCTAATTACTATGACTGTAATTCTATATACTTGATTGGGCATTCTGCCGGCGGCCATCTTTGTTCTCTTCTTGCTCTCCGTCCGAATTCTCTGGAGGACGTGGGTGTTCCATCCTCGAGTATCAAGGTACAATTCCCAACCTCTTCAACAATTCAATTTAAATTTCAATTTAGCTTAAAAGTTAAATACAATTTCATATGTATGAGCTATATTTGAAAATAGTTTAAAAGTATTTAACTCAAAATATACATTTTTTTTTAGAATTATTGTTCCTTGTTCTTTGTACAGTTTGTCAGTTTGAAGACTTAATATCTACTACTAAATACTGTATGTCATTGATGAGTCTTGCACTCCTCTTTATTTCCCTTTTTCTAGGGTGTGGTGGCAATTTCCGCGGTTCTGCACGTAGAGAAGCTCAACACTCGTGCGGTGCGCCCTCTGTATCTCCACCCAACCTTCGGCAAGGACCCGGATGATTGGTCGTCTGCCTGTCCAATGACCCATCTTCAAAACAAAATGTCGTCGTATCTCCCGAACTTTCTCGTGATAACAGCTGAGAAGGACTGGCACCTTCATCAGGAGGCGGCCATGTTTGCCAAAGAGTTGGAGAGCTGGGATATTCACCAACACAGAGTGGTGTTTCCGCGGACTACACACATGTCTATCATATGTAACTTTGATCGACAATGCAAAGTTCTAAATTTCAGTGTCGCCAGCCTCTGTGTTCAGTTTATACAGCAAACGTGCAGCTTAAAATATCAAACACATGATTTACCCAATACGGAAGAATAAATGTTGTGAAAGAAATTTTTCTGTTTTCTGTGATCTGCATTTTATTTTTTTATATTCCGACAAGTAAGTGTTGAACAAATGAAACAGAGGGCGGCCAATATATGAGGACTTAGTAAATTTATTTCAATCATAGGGTAATTTCTCTATTAAAACAGTTACTATTTAGCGATTTTTTAGGGGAGGCGGGTTAGACAACAACGATATATTGATTTCGAATTTTAAACCCAAAATTTATATGATTGTTCCTGTGAATATTTATTTTTTTCTATGTGTATTATTCTTTTAACATGTTTAAGCTATTGGATATTTAAAAGAACACTGCTTAACATAATGTAAATTAATTTAATAATTCCTTGCAAAAGATTCATTCAAAATGAATATATTATATTTATTATATACATGCATCTAGGTTTGCATGACTCAAAAGCCATTGAAAAATTTATGACTTTTTTCTCGTGTATAATATATCAACTGTCTATCTAAACAAGAATAGATATGGGTTACCCCATATCCAAAGATATTCGACTTTTAGATTTAATATGTTTAACAGTGTTTAATGACGATTATAACAAGAATAGATATGGGTTACCCCATATCCAAAGATATCTAATTATGGAACTGTTGTAAATATCGTGATTCCATAGCATTACGGTCACCCAGTCTCCTAACAAACAGTACACATAGGCCTACATGTACCTGTAGCCTTGGTCTACACCGTGCAATGGAGCTGTCACACGCATCCAGCGAGCTCGGAGAAACACGTTTTGTTTTGCCGAGAAGTTACGGTGTCAGACAAAACTTTTCTTTTCTTAATTAGATCATATAAATACGAATTCTGATTAATAAAAATTATACAATCCCTGTTGAACTTTATATAGTTTGTTCTAACATTTGCATCTGCAACAACTTGTGTTTAAAATGGCCGGGTTGGGAAAATCAGGACCGGATCGGAAAATTCTAAACTGAAAACATGGAAAACCTTTTTTGTTTTGAAAATAACTGAAATATACTAATATATTTGTCGCAGAAATTACTTACATTATTCAAGTTCTATATATAATGGTATGCTGAACTTCAACACGAACCCGAATCTCCAACCCATGCAGTTTTCGTTTTGCCACACATACCCTACAGTTTACAAAGTGTACACACGAGCAGGCCAGGGATTGAAAATTCCGTCATTTAATAATACACACACACAGAATGATTAATTTTTTCTTTAAGAACAAATTTTATGATAATTAACGGACTATAAACATGTACTTAATACAATTGTTGATATAGTATTATTAATTCATTGGTGAAAAGATATGAATCGAAGAATGACCTAATTATTCTCTGTTATCAAACACGTAAAAAAAAAGGCTGAGGAGGGAGCGAGCGTAGGAATATTGATATTTTTTATTTGCATTTCGGGGGGAAAGTGACTTTCTAATGATATTTTGACGTTATTTTTGATTTCTTTAACGTATGACATACACAACTTTACTCTTATCATGAACAATAATGTTGTATCTACTTATCATGATGGAATTATTTTGGTCGGACCAATATGTGTGAGCTGCCGCTGAATACAGTTATATATCTTGCAAAGATAGTATGCATTGATCGAATATATAGAAAATTGTAGGAAGAAAACTTTTAAAATTCGTGATCTACAGTATCAAATCTAATCTGTGTGTACATTGAACTACTTAATTAAATGATCGGGAGGTCAATAAAAAATGGATGGCAACTGTTCCTTCGCCATGCGATCGGGGCTTTGAAGTGGAAGTTGTGGGTCCTTCGGATAAGACCGTAAAACTCAAGGTCAATAAACCAGAGTGCCATAAGCTCGAAATTTAAGGTTCATTGATACTGTGATAAGAGAGATAACCCTGAATGACATAAATGTCTAAAATTCCTTTATAGATTTGCAAAGATGAAGTGCCCTTTTTTATTCAATTTTGCCCCGCAAGCTAAGATAGATAGAGAATATTTCAAATGGAAAGAATCGAACGTAAAACAACGTAAAAACAATCACATAAATAAATCCTATATTGATGTCATTATTAGTCTTTATAGGTTAAATATAGAGAAACTTTTTAAATTTTAATTTTTAAGTAAATATGTGAGGATTTTATGTGTTTTCCTTGTGTTTTTGAGGAAAATTTCATATTTTTTGTTTTTGCGGAAGTTTAAAACTTCTTCACCTCGTGTGACCTACTTTACAACAGCCCCGGGTCATCACTGGACATATTTATAGATCACACTGCAACTAGTATGCTCTCGCTATAATTAAACAAATTGTATCATTGTTGCGGTGTTCTTCCTTTGAAGACTACTGTATTTTTTTTTTTTGATTCATCATGATTGTGTTTATAACGATCAAGCTCGATTAAGATAAATCACGCTAGAGTGAATGATGATGCAACAATAACTCCTGACCTTACATTGAATTAGAGAAAATATACAATTAAAAAAGTATAGTCGACATGGGCAAAAATCAATTAAACGTAGTGGAAGCATATTATCTTTCCTACCATAAATAATTTCACATCTATTTTAAAATCTAAAATGGAATTCACGCAGCGCATTTTTAAATGATTGTTAATTTTGATCTCTTATAAACTCGATGTGTAACAAACCAATCACAATGTAATACAGGGAAGGATATGGAGATAACAAACAGTCTTCAATATCAAGTCCATAAAATAACCGACCGGTCACACCCGCCTGTAGTGTCCCATACAAAGTTATTATCGGATTTAACCACATGTAACACAAACTAATCAGCCATACTTTTATTTATAACATCAACTTCCGGTTGAGTACAAAGGGAGATAAATCACAATAAAATAAATGAGAGTTATCTTTCTTACATCACGAAATATAAGTTTACTATAATAATCATACACTACAATCCTCCCCCTTTTCATTTAAACAAATAGCAATTATTTCAAATAAACTGTAAATGAACAAATCTAATTATCATTTAACTTTAACACAGTCTATAAATCATTACAGTGTTTATAAATCATTGAAAATTCATATTTGAACAAAGGTTACACAGAACATGTTATTTCATTACATAGTCCTTGAATTTCACCGGCAAAGAGCGTTGACGAACTGGTCGGCTTAATTGCGGTGAACTTGTCGTCGGATCTTGAACATTGCTGTCGGATTCCTCTGCTGATGAGTTTCCTGATGACGCTTCCTGGACATCATCTGAAATCACACTTTTATCGCTCGCAATTTGATTTGGAACTGAATTTCCTGAACACAAATCTTCATTTCCATTGGAATTTTCACTTAACACATTTTCATTCACATTTTCACTTGACACATTCACAGATTCCTTAGAATTCACAAACTTTTTCAAATGAGACACATTTCTTTTGTAATGAACTCCCTCCATGGATTCTAACACAACACTATTTCCATTTTTCTCGACAACTTTGAATGGATCATTATGAAATATCGTAGATAACTTGTTTTCCTTGTTCTTCTTCATCAAAGCAAGATCACCAGGTTTTATGTCGCTAAGTGTAGCTCCTCTCTTAGCATCAGAATACATCTTCCCTTTTGCCTTCTTCTCCGCATCTCTATCTCTAACTCGGTAATCTGTCTCACGATACGTGTGGATATCTGGTAGTTTTGTACGAATAACTCGGCGGAACAACAACTCGGCCGGACTCACTCCTGTTGTGGTATGTGGTGATGAGCGATACATCAGCAAATAAGTCTGAAGTTCCGATTTCCAGTCTTTCTTCTCTGCTTGTGCAATCTTCAGTCTCTTCAATATTGATCTGTTCTGACGTTCAATTTCTCCATTGGCCTGTGGCCACAATGGGGTGGTCTTCCTATGGACTATTCCATTTATTTCACAGTAAGTTTTGAAATATTCGCTGACAAATTGTTGTCTGTTGTAATAGAAACAGGTAATCCATGTATACTGAAGATCTTTGTCAACACTTCGACCATTTTCTCCGCCGTTGTAGATCTCATCACAGCCAGATCAATCCATCGTGAATAATAATTGACGATAGTAAAAATGTAGTCTCCCGATGGTAACGGTCCTAGGAAATCAGCTGCTAAATGTTCCCATGGTCGTGATGGTAGTTCTGTTCTGTGCATAGGTTCCACTTTTTCAGGTTGTGATACTAGCTGACATCCATAACAAGCTTTGTTCCACTGTTCAATGTCTTGATCCAGTTTAGGCCACCAAACTTTGGATCGCAATCGCTGCTTCATGATGACAATTCCAGAATGTCCCTCATGACCTAGTGCCAGTACTTGGTCGCGTAATGACTTAGGTATGACAATCCTTGTCCCTCGTAGTATCAGATGTCCAACAGTACACAATTCTGATTTTACTGTCAAATATTCTTTGTTCTTTAACTGGTACCATTTCCCTGTTATCAAGCATTCTCTCAAGTTCTTAAGATCCTCATCCTCCAATGATGCTCTCTCAAGCTCAGATATGGTCATTGCGATTGGAACAGCTTCCTCAATAACAAAGCTTAAGTATTCCTCTGTATCACTCGTCTTCGGATTTGGTGTATCTGTTGACAACATCCTTGACAACGAATCAGCTATGTTTGATTTACCCGGAATATGACGAACTGTGTAACTGTAGTTCTGCATCCTTAACAACCATCTCTCTACACGTGCACATGGTTTCGATTTTGGCGAGAAAATGAACTCAAGTGGCTTATGGTCTGTTAACAGCTCAAAAGTCTTCCCCATCAGGTACATGTGAAACCGCTCACACGCCCACACTAAGCTGAGTGCTTCTTTCTCGGTTTGTGCGTATCTGCGTTCGACGTCCGTTAGGGATCTACTCGCATAGGAGATAATCTTAGGTTTCCCTTGTTGTTCCTGGACTAAAACAGCGCCTAAGCCGACTGGACTTGCATCTGCAATAACTTGTGTTTTGGCATTCACATCAAAGTAGGCTAAAGTTGACACATTAGCTAAACAGTCTTTAAGTTTGTCAAACGCTTCATTTTGTTCTCGTCCCCATGCAAATGACT